TCGAGGAGTTCAAGACGGAGAAGAGGCTGTGCAAGATGTTCTACGCCGTCACGCTGCTCTTCCTGCTCCTCTGGGGGCCCTACGTCGTGGCCAGCTACCTGCGGGTCCTGGTGCGGCCCGGCGCCGTCCCCCAGGCCTACCTGACGGCCTCCGTGTGGCTGACCTTCGCGCAGGCTGGCATCAATCCCGTCGTGTGCTTCCTCTTCAACCGGGAGCTGAGGGACTGCTTCAGGGCCCAGTTCCCCTGCTGCCAGAGCCCCCAGACCACCCAGGCCACCCACCCCTGCGACCTGAAGGGCATTGGTTTGTGAGGGACTGCCCCGCCGCTCACCCCCCGCCCCCCGCCCTGCCCTTTGGCTCGGACCACGGCATCGTTTCTCTCCCTCCTGTCCCCCTCTTAGTTTTCTCAGCTGCCTTCAAAGTGACTCTCGAAAATGACTCTCGAAGTGGACACTCACTTGGGTTGTACAGACTCCTCTGGGGGCCGGCGGGAGGCAGTGGGACACGCAGCCCTCTCCAGCTCGCGCCCCCCGTCCTCCTGACCACACTCTCTTCTGCCGATAGGCCCTGCAGTCTTTTTGTACTGGTACTGACGTCTTTTATCCCATGTGTGACGACTTTTTTCTTTTTCTATAAGAGCTAGCTGATTTTCTTCATGCAACGTTTCCTAAAGACCATGGCCAGTTTTCTACAGAAGCTATTTTTGACAACCTCAAATGGCGTTACATTTTGCAGTGAAGTGGAGGAACCTCGGGGGACTTCACAAGTTAGATTTCTTGAGGGTCTTCTGTTGGAGGCAGGAGAAAGGGAGGGGGTGGGAGAGTTGTAAATTCCCTCGGTGGCCGGCCGCAGGGTGAGTGGCGCTGCGCCGGTTCTTCGAAGGATGGAGAACTTGGTTCAGTGCTGACATTGAACTTAAGAGCAGAGATGGAAGTCAGTAGCAAGGCAGTCATTGTTTTTAAAACAGTAAGTAACAAGTAAGATTTGGTTCCTGGTTTACTTTGTACTACTGAAAACTATGTGTCAGCGACAACTGCTCTCTGTATTATACCAATCTTGAATGGAGACATTTCTGTAAAGTTGTAACTTTTAAAAGAGTCAAAAGTGTTCTGGTTAGTAATGGTGTGGACAAAATACAGTATTGCATGTGTTTGTATATACAGATTGTGGCTCGAGGATGGGGAGGGTTCTGAGAAGCAGAGTGCTAATTCAAAATTGTTTAGGTTTTTTTTTTTTTTTTTTTGCCAATACATTAAAATAATTTTATGGAAACGGCTTGTGCTTTGAGAAGCCCAGTTTTATTCTGTCTTATGAAACTAATTTCCACTTTGAAAACTGTTCTTCTGTTGTTCCTGGTATAAATGAATGGAAAATGATACCTACTTCTAGGAGACAAAGCATTTCCTTAAAATGTTTGCTAGGTTAAGCTGTGCTGTTCTACTGATGGTTGTTTTAAATTAATAATGAGAACTATAATTTAAATAATATTTCTTTGTTAGACATTATAATCTTAAACCGAAAGACTAAATTCTGCAAGTACTATATAATATTTTTTGCTTATAATGCTACATTTTTATTAATGTACCTTCCGTTTTGAGGATTTATATCTGTATTTCTCTTTGCATTATACAAATATACCAGTATTTTCATTCTGGAGTGGTTGTTCTGTTGTTGTTTGAAGCAATAAGTGATAATAATATGCGCCTAATATGTTGTTCTGTTGTTTAAGTGATGACTGATAATAATATGCGCTTAATATGTTACTTGTGTTCTATTATCCTTTTCATGCACATTGCTTAGTTTCAGGTCTCGTAGTCTGACCATCAGCATATCAAAACATTTGGAGGCTTAACTTAAAATACAAGATAAAAATCTGTAAATTTTCTCTTTAAAGGGAAGAAGCAGTGGACATATACCACTTTAAAACTTTTTTATTTGCATGAAAGGAATTGAAGTATTCATTAAATGACACAAAAACTTAAAAAAAAAATAAAATGAGTATAAGCAAAGTAATCATACTGACAAAAATAATAAGTAAAAACGGATATTTTAGCTGAGTGGAATATAAACTATTAATTCCAACAGGAATAAATAATAATAAGAGAGTGTGGCCAATTTAATTATTCTGTTAAATGGGCAGAATTATTTTATTTTGTGAAAGTTAGTTTGTAAAGACAGTCTCATATTTGGAAAACATAAGCAGCAGTGAACCTACTTCTTCCCACATCATTAAGTCCAGGTAGGCCTCAAACATCCAAGGGTCACTCATCAGAAATCTCAGCCAATCCAAGACAGAGAGGCCCAGAAAGTAAACCTCTCCTCATCTAACCCTCCACCTATCCGAGGGATCCATTTCAAAAGTAGATATCAACAAGTCCATGTGATATTCAGAGTATGTCACACAGATTTCAGGTGAGAGTGGCAAAAAATAACCAAGAGAGACAGAAAAGCAAGCTGTCTAGGGAAAAATAATGTATAGGGGCAAAAAAGCCCCTCTGACCTCAGCAGCTTTTTGGATTAATGAATCTATTAATATGTACTTTACTAATTACATTAATAAAAAATCATCAAGAAAAGTTTAGTTGTGTCCAAATTACCCTGCTCATCGTACCATGGCAGGTACAGTGGGTACTTAGGGAAGATTCCATTGAAATGATTTGTTTATTTAGGAAATTGATGTAGCACAATTTCCCCACCCTCCCACCCAGAGTGAAAGTTTTTCTATACTCGATGTGATAGAAAATAGGTTTCTTGTACATATATCTTCATCAGCATGTTCTGGCAAGGAATTATTGGATCAAAACAAGCATTTTTAGGCCTTTGATATCTTATGTCAAATAGCTTTGCAGAAGACCACATATATCTATATATTGATTTAAATTTACACCTGACATATTTTTTAATGAAATATTTCAAGCAAAGTGGGGACGCATATAACAAATCAATAACCATAAAGATAAATAATCTCGGCCATCCTCTATTCAGCCTTGCCAGATTTTGTCACTTTTGCTATATTGGTTTCTACTCTTCCTTTTTTGTCCTTTCCTTTCTCCCTCCCTCCCTCCCATCCTTCTTCCCTCCCTCCCTTTTTTCTCTTTCTTTCTTTTTAAAGAAATAAAACATGACAATTATTTCCGCCAATTCTTTGTTCTCACCATCAGTCTTCTGCATTCACAAATGCCCGCTCTGAAGAGGTGGCAAGGAACCAGGTCCTGGGGCTGACTAAGGGCTTAATTTTGCAGGTGGACATTGGGTCCCCCTGTCTTCCCGAAGCCTACAGGGTTGAGGAAAAACCTCTTGGTCTGCGACAAAAGGCCTTTCATAGCCTGGCCCCTCCACCACCCTGGCCTCATTCTTCCCTTACATTCTCATCGCTCCCTACCAGGATTACCTTTCTACCACCTCTCCACTCTTCCTGGAAAGTCCATTCCCCACTTTCTGCCTGGGAATTCCTCACCAACTCCTGTAAAGTAAGGGTGATATTCACAATTTTTGACAATATCAATTGTCAAAATGGCAGAGCTATTAAAATGGATGGATGGCAGAGCTAACCTGTGCAACTATACCCCTGACCCTGGCTGGACATGGGGTCTGTGCTGGACCCAGGTCTGAGACTTCTGGAAGCCCTTCTAAGCCAATCACACCTCCTCTGGGTTCCTGTGGTATGTTGCTTACCTCCAAGAAATCTGCACTCCTGGGTCTGGGGCACACCATTGGCTCCCACCTCCCTGTCCAGTCTAATCTCCTTCCACTCTCTTCTCAGGCCTGAGCTGCTGTCATTTCTGGTCACTGGCAGTGCCCCGAATAGACCACACTGTCTATTCGGATGTCTGCTAAAGCTTTCAGACATAAGGACTGAACTAGACATAAGGGTAAACTCCTAGTCTCTGCTGAGAGGAAGAGATGGTCCCAGTGCAGGCCCCGCAAGGTTTTCAAGGTTCCAAACTCAGTCATTAGATCTGAGCACTATGGCTGGCTAGGTAGCAGACTTACTGTCTTCCTGGCATTTTAGGTTGTCTGTGTGCACTGAAGTGGCTGGGGTTATGTAATGCAGCTGACCCAAAATACTGTTCTCCATTCACCTGACAGACATGACACTTCATGTGGGCTTTCAAGATCACTGAAGTTCAGAACCTTCTCCGAGCAGGGCAAGAGAGGCAATGGGAAACCATCTCCACTCACCCACATCTGAGTCCCTTTAGCTGCTTCAGGAGTAAACGGAAGTAAAGGAAATTTGATCTGATTTCCTGAATCTGGAAAACCACCTGAATGAACGCATCCAACCAATAGATGTTAAAAGTTAATAAAAAGCTGGTTTTTGTGTTGGGCAATGTAGACAGACACAGGAATAAGGAAGGCACAGTTCTCTTGCTAAAGAGTTAGCAGGTGGATTGGAGAAACTGGCAAATGCACCCAAACCATAAAGCAAGGCAGAACATGACAGATGCCAAAAGAGGGATCTAGATAAAGAGCTTGAGAACAGTGAGGAGATCAGACATCATAAGTGATTATCTGGAAGGGGCCCTATGCATCATATCTCTGGTTACTCAATGGAGAAAAAAAGGCAACATCAGAAGACTGGAACAGATTGTCAGGGTTCCATCTTCCCCCTCCTCCTGGACTCTTACATTTCTTTCTGACTCCTTCTGCACTCTCCTCACTCTGGAATCCACTTGAAAATACATTCCTCTAAATGAAATAAAACCACGTAATTCCCTCTTCAAAGTTTTGTGTTTCAGTTCTATCCAAATGTTCAAGTGTCAGTAAGAAATGTGGTCATTTTAATGGAGAAAGTTTGTTACATAAAATCTTGCTGTGAGTAGAGCCAGCAAAGATGCTGTTGACTTAGTAATGCCAGAATGGAAAAGAAATCACAACAGGTATCCCTAAAAAGGACCATTCTGCTCCTTTCCCAAAGTAGGGGGAGTAGCAAGTTTACAGAGAAGGGGATTTTATGCTTTTAAGAGAAAAGGGGGAGGGGGAAAGGGTTTGTAGGAATACAGCTAACCCTGTATCCTGGGCTTGGGCATTTAGGATAAACAAACAGCTTGAAATGTATATCTCAAAGCCTGAAGTTTGGCAGTCACTTCAAATTATACAGAGAACTCATGCAAAAACGTTTTAAGTTGCAATGTCAAGGCATAAATGCAATATTTGTATTTCTTAGTAACATTAAGGAGACAGGTAAATTAAAGCTATTACTATTTGGTTTCTAGGAGGAATAATTTAGTCATTTATGAATTAAGTTTTAAGTGACCAGCCTACTTCAGGTAGAGAACATGTAAACTGTTGGGAAAGGGTGTATTTAAACATTTCCCTGATACATTTATATTACCTGAATTATGCCAAGCTGCATAGTTTTCTAGAAAGAACTCTTATTTTTTGCCATGAAATGACACCTGAGAAGCACACAATGCTTTTTGGTTGGAACATGAGAAAGCAAGAAATCTTCATTTTCTTGAAGGTATAGACAAGCTGTAATTTTGAAGGACTTTGAAAAATTATATACATTTCAATGTCAGTCAACCTAATACACATCTTATTTAAAAATTTTATAAAATCATTCAACTTAAGATGCACAAGGAAATGAAACTTCTCCTTGTCTTTTTAACATATTCATTTTTTTCTATTTTGTTCCCTATAAATTCCTCATACAGTTCCTGAATATGTACCGATGCTCATGGCAATGTCCCACGCAGATGAGATAGAGATGAACCCGACACAGGTACTCATTCTACAAAGTGATACAAAAAATGTAACTCTTCAGTGTGTAATTATTTTACCCCATAGTTGTGATCAGTTTAATTTGCATATCTGTCTTGAGGAATTATGGGATACCCATTTCTAGATTTAATGTGCATAATTGTTCTGATCTTTTATGAGTATAATGACATGTGGCCTGACAAAATATTTTTTTAAATTTGTAAGTTACCTTCTAGATTTCATAAAGATATTGGAATTAAAAATGTATATGTACAAATTTAACAACCTGTCTCTATTCAAAATAACACAATCATACAAAACACATGATTGTCTTCTGTTGACTACATATGGCTTTACTTTTGCTAGTTTGAAAAGTAGCTTTGTTCACTGAAAGTTTGTCCTTTAAAGTTTGTTCTCCAGCTCTGCCACCTTGAGGTTTGTTCTCAAACCTCACTGCCTTGCTCTTACCACCTGGTCTGGCTTGTACCTGCCCCACTCTCATGACAAAATTCCATTATGTAGGTGATAAAACTTGTCACATCATCCTGCCATCAATTTTGGTTGTGTGGTTGATCCCACCCTGTGCAGAGCAATTGCTAAGCAAGAACACAAAAACAAATTTTGAAAGATAAGAAAGTCAAGTGTAAAGTATAGCAAAGTGACGCCCTTTTGAAAAAAAAAATTCACGTATTGGTTAGAGTAGAGGTGGGAGTGCTTTAACAAAGACAGTCAGAGTAAGAGGGGCTTAACTGTGCCTTCCTGGTTCTGGGGGACCTGCTTCAGGGAGTTATCTGGGTACTCAAGCTGGTGGTCAGCTCTACCATCTTCCCCAAGTGCCTTTACTCTCTGGGTCCAGAGTGACAGAATTCATTGTTGTGTCTCCTCATTGGAGACAACGTGAAGTGCAATTTTCATTTAAGTGAGGCAGATTCCTTCTGTTCACATTCCATCTCTAAGAAGTTAAGTCATATGGTTACTCCTGGGCAGCTGGTAAATGCAGTTGCTGGATGTCTCGATGGGTGGCCATATGCCCACCTAAAATGGGGGCACAGAGAGATAG